CCGCCCGCGCTGCCGCGGGGGGGGAGGGGTGGCGGGGGGGGGGGGGGGGGGGAATCCCTGCAGGGAGCCGTGAGTGACCGTCACAGCTCTCTGCACAGATAGATGGAGAAGTGAGCGAGTACCGGTATGTGTTCACCTCCCGATCTACTGAGTCGACCTGTGACAGTTTCATTGTCACAGGTCGACTCAGATTATGATGCTGAGTGAAAATCACTCGCCTCATAATTCTCCTTTTAATGGAGCCTCCTGTGAATGATAACAGCCCTCCTGTCCCTTTTTTAAAGCTGCTCTGAAAACCTATGAAAATGTTTGTTTTAGAGGTTACCTGTGTAAATAGGGCAGCACTATTTACTGCACTCTAGGCACCCGGGGTGCTCTGTGTTGAAAATAGAGACTAGCCTTTGTGCTATCCTTGTCTCTGTTCTCAGACCCGTACTCCTGCTCAGCCTAGGTTTCTATGCTGCTTTTGCATTCCTGTTGACTTACAAAGGGAGATTAGCAGTTCTGACACTAACAAAATCCTGTATAGAGACTACTACACTATAATGCGTGCAGGCCTCTAGCACCCAGCATCCGTTGTATAACTCGCCATTCTTTGTCCCTCTCTGTAGGTTTTACATTATGTGGAGAAGCCCAGCACCTTTGTCAGTGACATCATAAACTGTGGGATTTACCTCTTCTCGCCATCGATATTTCAGCACATCGCAGAAGTTTTTCAGCGCAATCAGCAGGATGTACAGCTGTGAGTCCTCTTATTTCTTCCCTCAATCCCCCTGCAGCACCCGTACTCCCGGCAACTCTGTTCCTCCCTCTTCATTCATCACTTTCTCATTTACATTCATTCTTTCTCTTTCTCTCCTCGGCCTCTATGTCCCTCGTTCTTCCTGCATGCTGGGCCAGTTGTTCCTGCATCAGGTGAGTGCTGTGTGTGGCACAGACACATGGCATGAGCACTGGTGTGACTGTAATGGTGGCAGTATAGACCCAGCCAATGTTTGCCTTAAAAAAAAAAAACCACACCACTAGCATCCTATATATTTCTCCTTGCATGATACGTTTTCTCATCTGTTAGCACTGGAAATCTGCTTTATTGTAGGGTAGAAGCACATTTATTAACAATTAATAGCCTATCCACTCTTTAAAGACCAATGTTATCAATGAGAATGCAGACTATCCGTTCACTAAAGACTGGTGACATCACTGAGAATGCAGCCTATCCATTCATTAGAGACCGGTGACATCACTGAGAATACAGCCTATCCGTTCACTAGAGACTGGTGACATCACTGAGAATACAGCCTATCCGTTCACTAGAGACTGGTGACATCGGATGCAACAAAAAGGGGGGAGGAGTTACGCTGGTGTATAAACTAATATACTAATCTACAGGGTTTCAGACAACTGTTCACAAAAACGTTCCCCCAAAAATTAGAAATCCCTTCTAAGAAGATTGGTTCAAAACAGGTATATCAAAATTATTGATACAATATTTAATAGTAGAAAAAGACATATACAATAAACTCATGCACCAGAGACATTTAAAACCACTTAAAACATTCCACTGGATATATCCTGCATAATTATAACAATAGTTGCCTGCAAACCACCTGTGTGGTAAAGGGCCATCTATGCAGGTTTCTGGATGATTGAAGTACTTTTCAAGAGAAACAATGTATCTGAGAATGTACTCACATATGTTGCAGTTCAAAGAACTCGAGGGGAAATGAACCTGCTAGAGTCCCGTGTGTAAAGATGGAAGAAAGACTTCGGGAGAGGTGTCCAGTATAAGACGATATTACTGTCCAAGAATGTAGCTCCTCAATAAAAGCAGGAGCTGCGAATACCCCTCTCCCAGCACTTTCCAAAGGCACAAGATACTCCGTGGGTTTCAGTGAATGAAATTGAAGCTTCTTCAAAGATTTTTGATCTTTCGTGTGCGGCCGCACTATGCAGAAAGAGAGAAGGACTACTTGACACTCCATGGTAAGATGCGCCTGGCAAGATTGAAGCCGGGTATTACCCGTAAGGCGCAGGAAGCCACCCGCTAACTTTTAAAACAAGTAAATGATTTTAGTAGCCATCCAATCGAAACCATATCAGTCAGTTGTGCTCCGTCACCTCTATTTCACAAGCCAGCAGGTAGTAGGCAGGATGTTCGTTCCTAACTGGACTTGTATAGGGGATGTGCAAACAAATGTGAGTATCTCATATGTCCAGAGAATCCAGGGAAGCTTTCCACACGTAACCCTTGACGCGTTTCCTCCCCACACCGGGGGCTTCCTCAGAAGGGCGTGTGTTTGATCTCTTACAAAGGTGTGTTTAAATAGCACAGTTAACGAAGGCTGATTGCCAACTAGGTTTTGCACAATCACAGCCATGTCACTTTTCAAAACTAAACGTAAATATAATATAAACTAAATATTCGATTAGAAGGCTCCTGTAAAGCCTTAAACGTACATCAAATTCATATTTTAATCGCATAAATATATTGAATAAGGAGCTACATTCTTTGAAAGTAATATCGTCTTATACTGGACACCTCTCCCGAAGTCTTTCTTCCATCTTTACACACGGGACTCTAGCAGGTTCATTTCCCCTCGAGTTCTTTGAACTGCAACATATGTGAGTACATTCTCAGATACATTGTTTCTCTGGAAAAGTACTTCAATTATCCAGAAACCTGCATAGATGGCCCTTTACCACACAGGTGGTTTGCAGGCAACTATTGTTATAATTATGCAGGATATATCCAGTGGAATGTTTTAAGTGGTTTTAAATGTCTCTGGTGCATGAGTTTATTGTATATGTCTTTTTCTACTATTAAATATTGTATCAATAATTTTGATCTACCTGTTTTGAACCAATCTTCTTAGAAGGGATTTCTAATTTTTGGGAGAACGTTTTTGTGAACAGACTGGTGACATCACTGAGAATGCAGCCTATCCGTTCACTAGAGACTGGTGACATCACTGAGAATACAGCCTATCCGTTCACTAGAGACTGGTGACATCACTCAGAAGGCAGGCTAGCCTTTCATGGGAGACCGGTGACATACTGATGGTACAGTAAATACATTGCCTAGAGACTGATGACATCAAAAGAACACAGCCCATCTTTTCACTAGAGACTGAGTTCATCACTGAGAATGCATCCTATCCATTTACTAGAGTCACTCCAGTGACTTCACAGGAAGTTCTTCTGTTTGCCATATCATCTTGCTCACTGAAATATTTGCTGTGTTATCTCACAATCAGCCTTTCCTCTGCCCCCTGTCCTCATAGCACTGCCCTCTATCCAGCCACTGGATGCAATATTATTATCGTGTGTTTGTTCTCAGTAATTGGGTTGTCTTCTTCTATTCTCAGTGAGGAGAACTCGAGCTGGCAGCGGGCTGAAGTTATTCGCCTGGAGCAGGACGTGTTCACCGCTCTTGCTGGAAGGAGCCACCTGTATGTCTATAAAACAGATGGGTTTTGGAGTCAGATTAAGTCAGCAGGGTGAGTGGATGATTGGTCTTTAGACTTTGCAAACACAATATAAATATATATATAATTTGGATAAGATTTTGAATTGAGACTGCTTGTGCTTTATTGGAGCCCCTCTATTTGGTATACAGCTCTGTGTCATGTTCCAGAGCAGCAGTAGGAAAATTAAAAGATTTTAAACTTGTTTCAAGTTCCAGGGATTTTTGTATGAGCTATTACACTAACCAGGAATTATTTCACTTTGGCGTGTTGCTGCAGTTCGGCCATTTATGCCAGCCGTTTGTATCTGAGCCAGTACCATACGACACACCCCGAGAGGCTCGCCCAAACCAACGAGGGAGGACCGACGATCCTAGGTAATGTAAGCTTTCTCATAACTTTACTTTTCACTGTGATAAGATGTTTAAAATACCTGCAATTGTATGCTGCATATCTAAACCCCAAATCTATTTTTTTTTTCTTTTATTCTAACCTGGCGATCCTGCCAGTAACCACCTTCTATCTCGCGTACCAAACTGTATCTATATACCGCGTTTCCCCGAAAATAAGACCTAGTACTATTTTGGGGAATTGCTAAAATATAAGACCTACCCTGAAAATAAGACCTAGTTGTGACCATTCCCAGGGCCGGTGGTGGCATAAGGGGGAACTTGAAGAAAGGCGGGAGAGAATCAGCGGTGCCAACGAAGCCAGCGCTAGAGGAAGCGGGGCGGCACCAGAGGGAGCAGAGCCTCATAAGCCGATGCTTCCCCTATAGCGCCGGCTCCTGCCACAGGCGTGATACCAAATGCACTCCGCCTGTGAGGAATCCATAGTGAAAGCGCGCTTCGCTCATTGGTTAGCAAATTGCTCTTGGAAAGGTACGGCACCCCTGATTGCCCTGATCACCATATTTTTTTACATAAATACATGTAGACCTTTCTACATGAATAGGTTTGGATTGTTATACATGAATAAAAAAAAAAAAAAGACCTAGTGTGTGTTTTGTTTTTTTTGAGCCGAAAAAAATATGACTGTCTTATTTCTGGGGAAACACAGTAGGAGCTGTGTTGTCACCCTAGGCTGCTCTCCTGATTTGTATTCCAAATGCCTTTCTCTCTCCATTACATAGAAAGGGAGTTTTGCAGTCTGGTAGAGAGTTGATAACAATGAGCTTTTCAGTTCAGTGCACAGGGAGTTACAAGCACATTGCATTTCTGGCAGGATCAAAAGGTATTGTGACCAAATGCTGATGAGTATTGGTTACACGATCACTGCTGGAGGGGCTTAGCAGGGATGGACATTCAGGTATTTTTCAGTAACTGACTGTCTTAAATAAGCCCAGTAGGCTCCAGTCTAGAGATTTTGAGCTTAGAGCAGGGGTAGCCAAACTCCGGCCCTCCCAGCTGTGGTGACACTACAAATCTCACAATGCATCTCTCTCCGGGAGTCGTGTCTGTGGCTGTGAGACTCTTGCATATGCCTCATGGGATTTGTTGTTCCACCACAGCTGGAGGGGCCGGAGTTTGGGTACCACTGGCTTAGAGTGACCCTAAACTCAAGAGTTAGATCTTAAAATGCATCCAGGTACCTTAACTATTAACAAAAATGCAGCTGATCTGTGCACCACTCAGCTGCAGATCCTCCAATCATCTCTGAATTGGTGCTGACACTGTCCTTTCTTCTGGAGTGGTGCTCCTTTTGTTCCCCATGATCCCTGTGTGTGTTGTAAAGTAGTCACCGCTCCAAGCTCACTCCCGGGATGGATTACAATCTCAATACAAATTAGTAAACTAAACATGAGGTTGTAGTCCATCCCGGGAGTGAGCGCAGAGCGGTGACTACTTTACAACACACACAGGGACCATGGGGAACAGAAGTAGCCCCCCTCCAGAAGGAAGGACAGCGTCAGCACCAATTCAGAGATGATTGGAGGATCTACAGCCGAGTGACACACAAATAAGATACATTGTTGTTAATGGTTAAGGGACTTTAATGTATTTTTAAGATTTAACTCTTGAGTTTAGTGTCACTTTAAAATGCCGGTCCAAAGCATAACAGTCTGATTATTTCCATGAAAAACTTTGTAACAAATGTTCCAGATAAATGGTTTTCAGGTAATAAATGCCAAACCAATGCAGATGCCTTTTTATAACAGGCCCAGAATATGTTCATCCTGCTATTGTGGAACTAAGAATTTTTTTTCTTCTTTAGGAAATGTGTACATTCACCCGACAGCCAAGGTTGATTCATCAGCTGTGGTGAGTAAGACGCACTGATGTAATTTTCCCCCTCGTTCATCATCAGTTATACACATTACCTACCGTTCCCTGTATGCTGGCATGCCGCATGATAGTATCTGTATCAACCAGTTTACCCATATAGTAAAAATTGATAACATGACCCTATTTATCAACATGTCGAATGGACTCAAAACTGATATAATGACAGATTTTAAGTGTGATTGGTCGATATAGGGCAATAGTATCCATGTTAATACTTTTATTATTATAAGAGCTTGCATTATATATTGTTGGATATAATCAGGACTTGCTCTTCCGTGGCACCTTCTCTGCCATGCTGTGTCTTTGCTGTTATTGTTGCTCTAGGCAAGGTGCACCTATTCAGTGAGGGTCCCCTCCCTCACCTTAATCAGTTGCACAAAAATGAGCACCAGAGGGTAAAACATTATTTAATATACTATTATACAACATCCGGCTGCCAAGACCCAGGGCAATGCCGAGTACCGGAAATCTTATGAGATGATGCAACAACACAGTGCAGTAGTGTCTTCTCACAAAATTTGGGCTACTTTGTAGTCCCTGGGATCTCGCCGAAAGGATGGTGATGTTTCGTTTACCTAGGTGCTGTTGGTGGCAACAGGAGTAAAATTATATCCATGAACCGCCCTACCCCCAATCTACCTTCTTCTAGACAATCTGTAGTTTATATTAATGTTACCATAATCTGCAGTTAGGTGACAGACCGCATCTTGGTTCTTCTCTCTACATTGTAGCATGGAAGGATAGTTTCTTCAGTATACAATGCAGAAATAAAGCCGCTCTACTTTCTTAGGCCCAATATTCCATGGGAACCGCGGTGCTGGGGCTAAGTCTCTGCCGGACCCAATCGGTAACATAAAGGTAAAAGAGACGGCACACGTAGGAATCCTCTTAATGGCCTCTCTTTATCGAAGGGCATAAAGGCAACTACAAAGATTGCTAGCATGTGTCAGTCCACCAAGGGACCTTCAGTGGCATCACGAGAGGGGTTTGGGGGGTGCGGCCATTGGAGGGGTGACACCAAAATGGCTGACAGTCATTTTGGTGTCACCCCCTATGCAAAGTCGGTCACGGGTATAGGTAAAGTAAAGTACTAATGTTTTTTCCCATGCTTGGAGTTCAGGTTTTAAAAGAGAACTATGAGGTGACTACCTCATAGTTCGAGCCGACCTGTGACAATGAGACTGTCACAGGTCGGCTCAGTAGATCGGGAAGTGAGCGAACACATACCGGTGTTCGCTCACCTCTCGATCCTGTCATGGCTCCCCGCTCCGATCCCCCAGCGCTGACTGGCGGAATGGACGGGGTAGGGGGCGGGTACAGCTGGTTCTGCCTCTAGATAGGCAGAGCCAGCTGTCACTCACGCAGCAGGGTGGATCTCGACAGTAATGTCGGGATCCGTCCTAGCTGCGGCGGTCTCAGTATACCGGGAGTTGTAGCTCGCGGTATACTGAGCTTGGAGTCACGGGAGGACGCTAGTTTATGACCCCATAGTTCTCCTTTAAGACACTAAGCGCATCATTTCATCCCTTCTTATTAGATTACACTTTGGAAGATAAATGTGAACATTTCCCAATAAACCATCTCTATCATATCTGATCTTTCTTACAAAACTCAGTATTTTTATAATCTTTCTGGAACAGTGTCATCAGATCATTTTCTTATAGTGCATATCGGCTCCTGTGTAACTTCTTCTCTTCACAGCTGGGTCCAAACGTGTCTGTTGGAATGGGAGTGACGATAGGCGCTGGAGTTCGGGTGCGAGAGTCTATTATCTTACATGGTGCTACACTGCAGGTGAGAGAGCAGAGAGTGCCTGACACATCCACATATGGTGACATCACACGAGACATTACCTTGTATATAAATCTGTGTTTAGAGTGACTAATCACTCCATTCTTCTAGAATGCTGTGTGTATGGGCTCATCTAAGGATAAGTTGGTGGCCTATAACAACAAATCTGATTTAATTTTGTATTGTAATCTGATCTAAAAACTGGAATGTTATTGGTTGCTTTGGACTGTAGATTCTTTCCTCCACCTTGGGATTGGGTCCTCCATAGGAAACACAAGCTAGAAATTAGATAAAGCCCCTCCATCAATCTTGCCTTTCAGTTAATCATTTTTCCTATTATCATCCAGTACTCGTACTCGCCCAAATGCTCCTGATGCCTGAACTTGCTGCCCGGCCTCCTGATTAGTCGGGAAGCTGGCTAATTATGAAGCCGGGCGGTCATTACCCACCCCTCGGCTTGCTGATTGGCCAGATAGCTGGCTCTATGCTTTCTCATCACCTGGTGACGAGGGAGCATGGTGCCGGCTTCCCGGCCAATCAGGAAGTTGGGCGACATTTAATGACTCGCTTCCCGATTGGCCAGAAAGCCAGCTCCATGCTTGCTCGTCACCTAATCAGGAAGCCGGGTGACGGGTAATGACTGCACCTATTTTCTAATCGGGAATCCAGGAGGCGAGTCATTACATGCAACCCGGCTTCCATAATGGGACTTTCATGTATCGGCAAGTACTGGGGGAAAAAAATATCTGTACCCGATACCGAAAAGCCGGTATCGGTGCATCCCTATCATCCAGGATTAAGTAACGTCCTTTTTGTTGTCTGTCTAACTGCAGGAGGGGTCCAGCAGTCCCCCTGGAGGCATGGGCTTTTCTTGGGGGAGGGGGCTCACAGTGTACCCCAGTAATTTCTGGGTAATTAGTGCACTATCTCAGTCATGCAGCGCTATAAAAGGGAATGGCCCTTACCCAGGGTGCCCTTGCAGCATAGACAAGACAGTGAGACAACAGACTACCCAGTGTCATGGGAAATCATCCTGAAACCACTCTGAAGGATGAGATTCATTGATGGACAAAAAAAAGGATCACTGGGTTACACCCTGAGCCCCCTCACAGATGAACCGAAACCGGTTTTTCTGTTGGCTCACTTTCTTGGTCTATGTGGCAAGGGCCATTCCCATTTTATAGTGCTGCATGACTGAGATAGTGTGCTAATTGCCCATGCCAGATGCGCATGCCAAGTCATTCCGATTTTTCAGCCTCTTTTGGGGTACATACAGCGCTAGAGGAGGCGGGATCAAAGACATGCCAAGTTCCCCTGACTGGCAAAAGATGCTGCAAGGGTCCTTAATGAACCGTCCTTCACCCCTTCTGTGCAGGAGTTAATGCAATTCCTTCTAATGTGTGATATGGAAATGCTGCCTTGACACTATTGGGGGAAGGGGCTGGACTTTATGGGAACAGCACTCTGGGATATAAACGAAATGTGTTCTGATTTTTTTAAATATAAAATCTCTGCACATCAGTGAACTTGGCCCAGGGCGGCCAGAGGACATGTGCCATGTTCCTGATGTGACTAAAGCCCCTTAAAACGTTTTCTACATGTGTGTTTGTTGCAGCCTTATGAATTGAAAGTCTTGGTGGGAAGAGCCAGCACTTTCATCCAAGAAGCTTTCACACGGTGGTGTACCTCCTGGGGGCAGTTCTGACAGATTTAGAGGGTACATCTACCTGTATGAGTTGTACATGTTTTACAAAGGAAAGCAACAGTCTTTTTTTTTTTGTTGGCAGGATCACAGCTGTGTATTGAATACCATCGTGGGCTGGGACAGCAGCATTGGACGCTGGGCTCGAGTGGAAGGGACGCCCAGTGACCCCAATCCTAATGACCCCTATGCCAAAATTGACAGCGAGACCCTGTTCAGGGAAGGGAAGCTCACACCGTCTATAACTATTCTGGGTAAGTTTAAAATCTCCTTATTTTGAATGGAAAAACAAAAAATAAAGCTTGTTTCTACAAGGAAAGTTTATTACCTAATTTTGGGCTCAGTATGACACAATTATGGCTGTTTAAAAGTTAGAGGAACTCTGTGCAGAAAGCGCAATCAATGGGAGAGAAATACTAATGCCATCAACTATTGCAGCTCTCAAAGTGCACTTTAATTTGCCTTTTTATTTGGGTTAAATATATTTTCCAACTGAGTAGAGTTTCTAGAGGTCTTTTTCCACTTATTTTGTGTTCTGCAGTATTTCGCTGATCTCCATTTAATCTTAAAGGACAACTATGGGGTTAAGGCTTTTCCCCATAATTCTCCTTAGGGTAACGGGAGGACACAAACTAGCGTCCTCCTGTCACCCTAGGCTCAGTATACCGCGAGTTGCTGCTCGCGGTATACTGAGACACCGCAGCTGAAGCGGATCTCGACAATTATGTCTGGATCCGCCCAGCTGCGTGAGTGACAGCTGGCTCTGCTTATCTAGAGGCAGAGCCAGCTGTACCCTCCCCCGTCCGTTCCGCCAGTCAGCGCTGGAGGATCGGAGGGGGGAATCCAGCCCCTCCCCTGTCACGGCAGAGAGCTGTGACACGATCGAGAGGTGAGCGAACGCCGGTATGTGTTCGCTCACCTCCCGATCTACTGAGCCGACCTGTGACAGTCTCATTGTCACAGGTCGGCTAGAACTATGAGGTGAGTGAAAAGCACTCGCCTCAGTTCTCCTTTAACTGGTGTTGCAGGGGTGGGACTTTGATGTGACATTATAAACGAGAACTATAGCCTAAACCTTTTTTTTTTCAGCTATAGTTTTCCTTTGGTCACAGGTGTACATTTTACTAATGTACACCTGTGCCCCAAAGTCAGTATATATTGGGCTACTGCCAACAGCGCAGAGGTGCGCTGTAGCTGGGAAGGATCACAATAATATCGTCGTGATTGACAGCTGGCTCTCCCTCTCTAGCCAGCTGTTCCCGTCCCCTGCCCTGTGAGTCCCTCCAGTGAGCGCTGGAGGAACATAGAGAGGGGAATCCCTCCAGGTAAAGGTGACTGACAGTCAGCTCGCTCAGCTCATGGCGTCTCTCTGCAGAGAGATCAGCGGTTTGTGATCGCTCAGTTCTCGAGCTATAGAGTCCGGAGTGTGCCACCTGCAGTGTCACACATCAGCTCAAACTATTGGGTAGGGTATATTTTACTCTTCCACTAGTTCTCCTTTAATGATCAGCGATGTGCGGACTGCAGATAAATGTTGATGGGAGGAGTCGAGACTCCATGGCCCTTAGGAATCAGAGCTGCAGGATTAGATGTTCTTGGTTTATTGGCATAATGAGAATGAAGCACAGCGAGGGGACTTGGTATACTGAAGAAAATGTTAAAGCCTAATTAAACCTTCTATTTAAATTGGCTCAATAAACTCCAGGTGCATGAAAACAAATGTATTTAATGTCTTACAGGTTTTTTTTTTTTCCTAACAGAGCCTGAGTAGAAAAGTCTGTCCTCTGCTGGCATGCGGCATGTGTGGAAACAGTGAGTTCTCTGCAGAGGTCTGATATGCTCTAGCTCAGCATGGGGGTGGTTCGAGCTCTGCAAAGAGATCACTGCTTTCCCTTTAGGGTGCAAGGATCCCACTCTGCAGCATGGTGGCAGGGGACAGGCCTTTCTACTCAGGCTGCGGCTGCTTTTAGAAGGAAAACAAATTATAAAGCTGGCCACACACCTATAGATTATTTGCAGATTTTCTGTGGTCAGATGGAAAAAGTGTAACAGATTCCTCCGTCTACGCTACACTGTGTGGGAGGAGGGCCAAGCTTCAGTATCTTGCTAGTCGGCCCCTCTGGCTCTCAAAATACCTGAACAATCTGATTGGATGCAGGCATTGTTCAGGTATTTGAGAGCCAGCGGGGCCGACTAGCAAGATACTGAACCTTGGCCCAGTGGGAGATTCCTCCATCCGCACAGTTTAGCAAGGATGGAGGAATCTGTTGCACTTTTTCCATCTGACCACAGAAAATCTGCAGATAATATATAGGTGTATGGCCAGCTTAAAGGTGCCCACACACCTTGAGATAATCGCGGGAAATCCTGCGATCGTATGATTATCGCAAGGTGTGTGGAAGGCGTGCGACCTCTGCTACTGTAAGGTCGCACGACATTTATCTTAGGAACATGTTCGAAAACCCGCCGAGAATTGTACGATTGTCGGCGGGTGTGTGGCATGTTCGTAAGATAAAAGCCGCAAGCGCACACTACCCGTTCAGCATTGCAGTCATGATTGCAAGTACAATCTGACTGTCCAAGATGGGCAAATCGTAAGTTTTTTATTTTTTTAATTACCTTACAACCATCGCAAGGTGTGTGCCCAGCATTAGAGTTTTTTTGCACACGTTTTGATTTGGATGCACCTGGAATGTATTTAGCCAATTTAAGCTGGAATTTCAGTCGGAATTTAAAGGTCCACTTTTTTAACTGGATCATTCCTATTTTTTTAGCACTGGGTGAGGCATAGTAGACTGGTTTGGGGCAAACAGGCTTCTTATGGAAGTCTGCTGCGTTTACCATTGGAGAAACTTTCAAATGATCATGTCGCTATATCAAAATCTGCCCCAAAAGCTTAATCTGCAAAACTGAATGTAAATACTCATCTTTCCTGATGCCTGCGCTGCTTAACTCCCACCTCCCATCTTGAAAAATGATCCTGATTCCACTGGAAAACTGACACTTCCTGGAGTGTCAGTCTCCTGGCTACCCCACGGCTATTAGCAGTCCTTCCTGCCGACCTCCACATTATTATTGGATCCAGTAGTAGTTGGAGTTCAGGAGGAACCAATCGGAGCTGCAGCGGATTCAGGAGATTGACACACCCGGAAGTGTCAGTTTCCCAGCAGGCTTTGGGGGATCATTTCTCAAGATTGGAGTTCAGTAAAGTGCAGCTTGGGTTGGCAGTAAAGGTGAGTAGTTACACTGACTTTTTATGGCACACATGAATACGGTGAACGGGTCGCTTGTACACAGAGGTTGCAGGCGATAGTGTACTGCATTCCTCAATAACGTAATCTGCTCATTTGTGTCCTGATTCCTTTTATTTGTCTTGCAGGCTGTAATGTGTCAATCCCCGCAGAAGTCGTCATATTAAACTCCATCGTCCTGCCGCACAAAGAGCTGAGCCGCAGCTTCAAGAATCAGATTATTCTGTAATCGGGGCGAGACACCAGAATTTTCTGCTCACAGGGGGCCAGGAGAACTGTCTGTGTTCTGGGTCAGAACATGAGCTGTCCCCCATAGCAATCATACTGAGATTTATATTACAGCAGGAAGATATGACCCGGACCTGCTAGGGTTTTCTCAGCCTTTAGGCACATGGTCCCTGGAGCCCCCCCCCCCGTCACAAACAAGACTGCCACCAAGAGATTATGTACAGTGCTGGAGGTGGCTCACTGACAACTTAACCCCCAGGGCAACCCACCTTTCCATTGCTATAACAATCTCTCATACTGGATGTCTACATAGCTGCAGGCACGGTCAGAATTTATTAAAATTCAAGTTTTGAGAAGTCTCTTGTACCCTTTCCTGACCTTTTCCTCTACAGCTACAAGACTTTACCCACCGCCGCAGCATGTAGATGGGAGCGCAAGCTTTTATAAGCCAACGTATGGGTTGCAGATATTAGGAGCGGCCGTGCCGGTCCAGCGAGCCGTTTGTATAATCACGAGGTGACGAGATTACAGCACGCAGTTATTAAGGTTCCTCCACCACTGCACACATAGCCGGGGGCCAGATACGGCTGTTATTAGTTTACAGAGAAAAATGGAAGCGGCTTTCTGCAAGGAGAAAGTGCTGGAAGGGTCACCCCGCTGAACATACATCACAATTCTAAATGAATAACATCTTGCCACCAGGCACTATTTGTGTCCACAGAACTGAAGTATCATTTAAAGAGACTTTGCCCATTCGCTTCTGCGGCACTGCCTTGGTAAATAGCCGGTGTGCCTGGGTATGGGGAGAACAAAGTGCAGAATGCAGCACTGAGGCATGAGTGGACAATGGCATGAGGGTTTGACTCCTGGCTGTAACAGAGCAGCGTGGGAGTCTTGCAAATGTCAGTATAAGTGGGTCGGAGTGGGTTTTAAAGAGATTGGCATAGCAAATGTCTTTTTTTTTGGGGGGGGGGAGGGGATAAATAATTATTGTTTTTGTGAAAGCCTTACTATTTGAAGAACTGAAGTATAATTTAAAGAGCCTTTGCCCATTCAGCACACTAACTCGCTTCTGCTGCACTGCCTTGGCAAATACTCAGTGTGCCTGACTATGGGGGAGCATATGTGACCTCCCAGTTGCATGAGGGTTTGTAAATGGCTGTAAAGGAGCATTGAGGGAGTCTTGCAAAGGTGAGTGTAAGTAGGTCAGAGTCTATTTTAAAGAGACTTAAGGTGGCCTTACAACCATCGCACGACTTTCGTTGGATGTAAGGTCATTAAAATTTTGTACGATCTGCCCATCTTGGACAGGCGGATCGTACTTGCGATCATCGCAAGCCCTCCCTGCCGAAGGGAGGGCTTCTAATGATTGCAGTGCTGAGCGGGCAACGTGCGTTTGCGCACACCAGCCCGTACGGCATTTGTCTTCCGAGCACACTACCAACCAACCCGAAAATCGTACGATTTTCAGCCGGTTTTCGAGCGTGCTAGGAAGATGAAAGTCGTGCAGTAGATGCGGTCGCACGCTGCCCATACACCTGCCGATTATCGTACGATACCCTTAAGGTGGCCATACACTTTACAACCATCACAAGACCTTAGTCTTGCGTTGGTTGTAAAGTAATTTAAAAACGTACGATCTGCCCATCTTGGACAGACAGATCGTACTTGCGATCATCGCAAGCCCGCCCCCGATGAACGCAATGCTGAACGGGCAGTGTGTGCGTGCGCACACCGGCACGTTCGGCATTTGTCTCCCGAGCACCGTTCAAACCAGCCGAAATCGTACGATTTTCGGCTGGTTTTCCAGTATGCTCCTTAGACAAAAGACGTGCGACCGTACAGTAGAAACTGTCACACCTCTTTTTTTCTCTTTTTATTGTGTCCCCCGGCCTCTAACAGCTAGGCATGGAAATCTGCATGTGGCAATGGCTCCTCCTCCTCCGCATGGCACAGTCAAGCAGATCATCTCCCTCATGATGCAGCAGGCATCTGCTCTGTTCAGAAAGCCATGTCAAGGTTAGGCAACCTCGGCACTCCAGCTACTGTTAAACTGCAAGTCCCATGAGGCATTGCAAGATTTATAGGCACAGACATGACTTGCAGGGGCATATCGGATTTGTAGTCTCAGCACAGCAGGGGTGCTTAGGTTGCCTTTTAGTTTGAGCTATGTAGTAGAATGTGTGGCTTTAAAGTTTAACAGGGTGTCAGGCCTTAGACTACATATTCAGCGTCCCCATCTGCAAAGAAAGCGAGAACTGTCCTCGGCTACTTTCTCAATCAGACTGGAGTTCTTCAAAGTCCCACCTCCAGGCAAATCTACAGACTTCCCTTTAATCCAGTTATGAATGATTTGGCACGTAGGATTTTATTTTATGATGCCCAAAGCCGAACACAAGCCAAAAGAAAAGATAGAACAACAAAACCAAATGTTACTGCAATATTCACCTTCAGGTGAATTCACCTTCATCCTGGACCCCAACCCGTGACTGGCCAGTGAAGGAGAAGCAGCACAGCGATGAGCTCATCTCTCTGCTTTCTCCTCTTATCAGCATGCTTCCTGAGAGCACGTGAACCGATTGGCTCCTTTGTGTGGCTTCTTCTCTCACACTCCAACCGAGCTGTACAGGGACTGCAAGAGGCTGATGTCAGGTCAAATTTAGTTACTTACACTGCGCTTATATATATTTAATGATTACAGATTTGTGTCTTTTATATCTTCCAGGAGTTCAGCTTTAAATAAAGTAAATGAAAATAAAATTCTATCGGCTCTCTGTAATCTGCTACGCAGCAGGACTGACCCTGGGACGGGAGGAGGGGGGGCGCACTTCAGCCAATCAGACTAGAGTTTGTTCAGGAGTGGAGAACACAGATCACCTTGTTAATGTTTTCCTGCTCCTTCCTTGTCCAATCAGCAACATGGGTAGGGGGAGGACAGGTGACCAGAATGTCGGTAATCCTTTGCCCTCAGTTAGGGAGGGTAAGCCAAAACCATGATCTCAGGAGGGGAGGGGTTAAACTAGACACATAGAGGAGTCCCCTTTATAGAGTTTATGCAATGTGAAAAAAACAAAAAGGATAACAACCAAATTCTATTTCATTGGCCTGACTAATAAATGCTTAGAAACCCCCCAAAACACAGCTGCATACTACCGGCTTGTAATGACCTCTTCAGCACCAGCAGTATGTCAGTCCTGACTGGACTCCAAGTCAGAGCTGAAGCTGGCAGCCTACCATGCAATGTGGGCTCCTTCCCAGTATGCTGAGGGGTGCTTATAATGTCGAAGGCAGGAGCAGCATCCATGAGTTCAGGCCTGCAGCGTTCACACTGCGCAGGGTCAGGGTCGGAGAACATGCAGAGAAGCCAAATCATCACAGGCCGGTCTTATGTAATGGCACCTTGTGGGGGCTACGGACATTCCCAGGTCACACCTTGCAATCTAGGCCGGTCTTATGTAATGGCACCTTGTGGGGGGCTACGGACATTCCCAGGTCACACCTTGCAATCTAGGCCGGTCTTATGTAATGGCACCTTGTGGGGGGCTACGGGCATTCCCAGGTCACACCTTGTAATCTAGGCCGGTCTTATGTAATGGCACCTTGTTGGCCAAAGACACAATCCTCTCTCCTTGTGCAGGGTGTCTGGTCTTGTCTCCGCCCCCTTCTGTAGTAGGTGGGGCCTGCCGAGTCCCTCCCACAGCTCTGCTCTCTGCACAGGCTATTTGAAGCACAATGATGATGCCACTGCTACTTTTACAAGGTAACAACTGCAGTTGCAAGGAATTTTCGGCCCACAACGTGGGTTAAAGCCTCTGGCTATTGAAGGATATATTAAAATGAAAGTTTTTGCCCCCGGCATTCAGTTTTAAGGTAAATAATAAATGTGGACTTTCAGATACTGATCCATATGGAGGGTGTACTTTGAGAGTTACAAGAGGAAAGGATATTTTAACTGGTGGGTTTAAAAATAATTTGGATTAGGCATCACTAGTGTTTGGCATAAAGGAACACAAGAAAAAGAAACCGAGGCTTCAGCACAAACACTAATGTTCTGTAAATCTCTTAGCGCTGCATTAAACAAGGGCGCTTCCTGCAGCAGATGTTTGGTTCTGAAGCAATCGCCTGGTAAATGGAACCTTGTGTGCATGGAGCTATGTCACCACCAGGGGGCGATGTTCTATACCATTATATAGGCACGGAGGGGTCCTCTATGGCTGCAAGTATAGATGACATTTTATTCAATGCTTGTTACATCTTTACATTGTTCTGCTCTGGCATTTCCCGGACTCTGCAACAAACACAGACACATGGGAGCATGTTATAAAATGTCTGATCTCCGGAATAATCCTCGCCACTGATAACAGTGTGCATGGTGTAACAGACTTGTATACAGTAGTTGCCACTGGGCTGCATCAGTTGCCAATGACTTATACCTCTGGGGAAGTTCCATAGGCCTTGGCTCTGCCACCCCAGTCCTCAAAACCCTGCTCATGTTACAGTCTCACTGCCCCCTGCAAGAAATAACCATTTAATGGGAACCTATGAAGAGTACTGCCACTGTCAACAACATTTTTGGGTCTGTCATCCTCATCGTTGCTGAACTGAAACTCATTTTTTTTTTACATTTTGGATAAGAGTTAAAAAAAAAAGAAGGTTATAACCCGTGTCGGGATTTTTTTCTTTTTGCCGGCTGTGGCCCCATGGGCCAATCCCTCTTACTGTCTGATAGCCACAACAGGAAGTGAGAGAAAATCCCCCCAAATAGAGGGATAATCACTGGTGATCAGCAGGGTCACCCATTGGAAGACTTCCCATCTATTCTTCTTCTGGTGACAGGGCAACATTTGGGATTTATTGGGCACCAGGACGTATGGAGAGAGTCAATAACGGGGCAATAAAATCCTGACAGGGGTTCTAATCCATCTCCAATTTATCCAAAGCTTAAAAGGAGAACTATGGGGTCAGGGCTTTTCCCTATAGTTCTCCTAAGGGTCAAGGGAGAACACAAAATTAGCGTCCTCCCGTCACCCAAAGCTCAGTATACCGCGAGTTACAGCTCGCGGTATTCTGGGACGCCACAGCCGGATCCCGACATTGCTGTCAAGATCCAGCCAGCTGCGGGCTTGACAGCTGGCTCTGCCTATCTAGAAGCAGAGGTGGCTGTGCCCGCCCCCCTCCCCCGTCTGTTCCGCCAGTCAGCACTGGGATCGGACAGGGGAGGGGGGGGAATCCCTGCAGGGAGCCGTGAGTGACAGTCACGGCTCCCTACAGGGATAGATCGAGAAGTGACTGAGCGACAGTATGTGTTCGGCTCAGATTATGAGGCGGTAAAATAAGCGCGCAACAAATACGCCCCAAAGAAGCTCCTGTACTTCTTTTGGTGTAGGGCGTTTTGCAGCGCGTTCTTACGCGCTGTAAAACGCCCAGGTGGGAACCATGCCCGTAGGCAATTATTGGTTTTCACATGTTGAGCGTTTTACAGCGTGTAGGAACGCTCTGTAAAACTCCCAGGCCTTAAGTACATCTAAAGTACCTCTCAGATACAGTTACTATGCGATACAAAAGCCTTATAAATTAGAAACACTCTCCCCCCCTCCCAGACACTGCTGCTCACAGTGGGAGGGTTTCAGCAACAGAGGCGGTGCTATCAATCTGGAAGGCAGTGGGTGTGGCCAGGTGATGATTGACAAGCTTGTGAATCAGCAGCGACAATGCTGATCGCCACACCTAATGATGTATTTAGGTTTTGTGCTGCCCTAGGCAGGACTAAACTAGGGCACCCCCCCAATCTAAATTTTCCCCACCCCTTCCTGTTTAAGACATTTTGTGCAACCTGTGTGGGATACAGCATGTACACTGTATCTAGCTTCTAACAGGTTGTGCTATTAGCAATGCAGAATACCACCAGCTACAGAGGACTACAAATCCCAGCATTACACAGCAATGCAGAATAATATGAAGCTGCATACTCTTGTGTTGCTCTGGGGTGGTGGACTGATGTCTCCAGGGACTCAGGTAGGCTGTGCAGGCTCCCAGGTGGGCTGTGTGGGGTCTATAGCGGGAGAGGTAGACCCTGGGGAGGTGCAGGGTCTAACCAGGGGTCCGGATGGTCTTGTGGGTGGGTGCGGACAGCGGATTCTAAAGGAAGGTAGGAGACGTGTGGCTGGCGCTGTAAACAGGTGCCGGGAGGTCTCCAGCAACCGTGGAACCTCATGGCAGCTGCTTGTGTTTACAAATGTAAAGCGTCAGTGATAGTGCCCAGTATGGGGGCATTTTAACGAGTACAAGTAAAATGGCAGGTGAGGCTCTGCCTCAATGGTTTGGGGGTGATGTTTTTTGCCCCCCCGGAAAGTGCCACCCAAGGCAAATGCATTGTAGCAAATACGTCCCTGGCCACACCCCCTGCAACATTGTATCCCATTGTAAAGGAACAAATTACATAAGGGTGACAACGCTGGTGACAACGCTGCTCTGAATTAAGGAGCAGTGCAGTAGCGTTGTATATTGAGCTTTTACAATGGCGAATGGAGCCAATCATTCCCGGCCCTCAGTGAGGAGAGGAAAGATGAACCGTGTGTGTGCTACTTCTACACATCATGTGACCAATACTGTTACCCCCGGGCACTATAGAGGCTTGGCAGATGAGGCCCACCCATCGTTCACAGGCCATCCCCAACCACGTCACCTTCAGCCGGGGGGAAAAAAAACAAAGAAAGAAAGAAGCTTCTACTGCAAAAATAATCTGACTTCATTATCAAAAGTAACAGGAAACACAAAAAAGTACACAAAACAAAAAAAAAAAAGAAGATGACCAGCACGCTAAATACCAGACCAGTGACACATTCCGGTGAACAAGCACAATATATACAACACAAAAACAGTCATGTGAAAAATGTGATGAGTAAGTGAGCAGTGATTTGATTTTGTTGTGAAGAGGCCACACCCCCCTTTTCAGTTGTTTGGAGAAGTGAAAAACCTTCCCGGTTTCCTCACCAGGTCACTTTTGCTGGCGGACTCGGTTCTGTAGGCGGGAAACACAGAAAACAAAACATCAGAGGGCGCAAAGTCGTCATCACTCTTCAGCAAACAAAATATGGGACACAAGAAGGTAAAAAAAAGAAGAGTCAGTTTATTGGATTTTATATGCGACTATATAAGTGCTCCCCCTAGTGGCCACAGGGGCATGACGCAATCTGAAGCAAGATCAAATTCTGTCTTGCGCCATCTCGCTCTACTAACGCACATTAAAGCTGAACTCCAGGCAAATGGCTGAATACGAAAGGTTAAGATGTGAATATGGTGCTTGGCCGTGCCAAAAAAAGTTACTGGTAAAATGTGCGCTTTATGGTAAGTTACCACAATGCGCCAATGTGAGCAGGTCACTGGAACTGCTGTACAGGGGGTGGGGGGGTTACAGGATGAGGACAGCCCATCTATTCACGTATACAGCTGTCAATCATATCTGGATGTGTTGCCATTAGGGATGCACCCAAATTACGGCCACCGGAAAAAAACGGCCAAAAATTGCGCTTTTGGCAAAATACCGAAAGTGCCATCTTTTGGACGAAATAGCTTTCTCTTCTCCCCGCTGGGCGTTGCTCTGTGTCCCAGCGGGGAGAGGAGGAACTGTCATAGGCGGCGGACTGCTGTGGGAGGAGAGCGCTGTGAGCGGCCGGCTTCTCTCCTCCCACACCGCTCAGCCGCCTATCACAGATCAGGAAAGCGGTGTGTGGGCGGAGACAGCTCTCAAAGCCGTCGCAGGAGCACGGTCGGCGGTGCGGGGGGAGGAGTCAGGGATGAACAAATCTCCCCCTGCTTACATTGTATTCTGACAGCAGTTCCTGCCCGTCAGAATACCCGAACAGTGCGTGTGACTGACCCACCCAGATTCATGAATTGCGATCTGTGTGCACCCAGCTTTACTCCAGCAGATGTGATAACAAATGAGAATGTAGGGCAGGGGCAGGCAACCTCCGTACTCCAGCTGTAAAGAAACAACAACTCCCATCATCTATCTGTGAGTCATAACTGCAGCAGTGAGACTCTTGCAATGTCTCATGGGACTTGTAGTTCCACAACAGCTGTGAGAAGATTGCCTGGCCCTGACCTAGAGGATGGATATTGGCCAATCTAGACCGGAGAATGTGGCGGCATTCCCCCGATTGTCATACATCTCCCCCCAATGTGTAGTATATAATACGATTCAAGGGTATTACTTACAAGTACGGGGAGGGGACGCCGGGCTTCAGAGGAGCAGCCAGCGAAGAGTTGATCTCGGGAGACGTCAGCGGACGGAAAAGACGCTCTGATTGGAGAAAACAGGAAAAGTCACAATCTGCATCACCGTGAAGTATCAATCCATCAGTGCACAGCGTTCCTTATAGGGTTCACCAAAAATAGTGTCTCCATTGGAAGATTTCCCATCTCTGACTGTTCTGATGACCACGCTGAATTTGGGATTTTCTCTCACTTTCAGTGATAACGGTCACCAGGACAAATGGGTAAATCTCCCCAAATATATATATATATATA